TGTTTGAACATTTCATGAGTTGAGATATTTATAAGTAGATTTAACCAAGTAAATAAGATATACACAGGAAATAATCTGGCATTGATAGAGAATAAGCTAGTTGATTTCATTGGTCTTTTGCATCTTAAAATTCACTGATGACGTAAAACTAGAACAGATGTTTTCTTTTGCCTTTAGTTTTGAGTGCTTTGGGTATTGTCACTTATGTCTAAAAGAAAGAATCAGGACAGTCTGTGGTAAAGTTCTGGAAGCCCCACTTGCAGCAGGCCTTTTGCCAGGCCACACTGTAAAATATAGGCTCTTCTGTAATTATGTGCTTTCCTTTTTATGATGTATTATAATTTTTCTTTATAATTTTACAAAGTTATTTAAAAATAGAAATTTTATGTATATAAAATTATTGTGGCATCTCATCCTATGTACTAGGCAGGTTCTTGAAAATACATATAGATAAGACCAGGAACAGACAGGGTTGGATATTTGAGAAGCATAGGAAAGATGCTAAAACCTAATTATGCAGAAAAGAAGTTTTTGTTGGTTGTGGGGATGGGGAGTACTTTGACCAATGCTGAATCATAGCAGGAAGAGACAAATCTGAAAGAGAGCGAGGGCAGGAGTGAGAGTGCTAGGGAAAATTTAAGGTTAAAACTTGCAGGAGCTAAGGAAGCATGGGAACTAGGTTGGGTATTTAATTGCTGTAGACCTTTTTCTCTTTTCTTTTTACTTGTTCAGATGCTCTAGAAAAACTTGTTAGTTTAGCATAAATGACTCAAAGTCTTTGCATTTTCTGATTCCTGTGATATTATTCATCTGATGGTATGCTCTGGTATTGCCCAACATATGGGGGAAGGAGAGATGAAGAGGAGAGATGACCATAGATAAAAGAGGGAGGTCTGGAATAACATTTGGTCTTTCCTTTCTTCACACTCTAGTCAGCAAATTTAATGCAAAATATTGCTGACTAATTATTATGAAAGGAAAAGTAAGTCTATTTCATGAGCTATGTTAGGATAATGTACTCATTAAAGAGAAGAATCTGTGCTGCAAATAAAATTAATTTAAAGAAAGGTTATAAAACCTGATGTGAATCTTTAGTTTATTTATACCTTTTTTAGGGGGTGAACTTTCTTCAAAGGATATACACTGAGATGAAGGAAAGGCATTCTTGGCTTCTCTCAGAAAGTTTGTTATCTACATGTCCCAAACTTGCAGCTGTGCAATCAACTATTAAGAAGCCTGTGGTGTTCCAGATGCCTTTTCTTTTACCTGCCTGATGCCCCTGTAAGCACAATAGACAGGATTTGGTCAACTCTGATTAAATGTTTGCTATTGTTCAGCTCTGGGGCTTTTAATACAATAAATCTGTAATGGTCCCTGTTGAGACTTTGCATCCTGTTTTTATAACCTGTGCCCTTAATAATTCACCAGGTTGCTTCTCAGGAAGGTTTTTGAATGATTCATCATTTTACAATTTCTGCAGAAGGTTAATGGTGTTAGAAAAAGTGTTTTTGCTTGTAACCTAATTTCAATTGCTATGTGAGTTTTGCAATAGTACAAATATCTATGGAGGAAGACATAACCATGGATTTCTCAAATTCTGTAGTGTAGAGTGAGAAAACATTACATTTGTCAGCATTTGTAAATTTTTCATGATCATGTGATTTACCAGGCATTCCTTTCTCCAATTTGCATGTGTTTAAGAACTGAGAGGAAAGCTATATAGTACATAGATATTTGGAGTCAGACTTATGTTCAAATACTATCTTTTCTATTTACTAGGAGTAGCTGTGTGATCCAGGAAAAATTACTTAATCTCTTTAAACCTCAGTTGCCTCATTTGTAGACATGAGAATAATAGCACCTACTTCACAGGGTTGAGATAAATATTAAACAAGATGCTGTATGTAAAATACTTCATACACTGTGTAACACTTAAGAAATAGTTTAAGTGAGAGCTATTAAAAATAGGGAAAAGTATGAATGTCACTAAATGTGATACATGGAAGTCTGTTATTGTCTGGACATTTTCTCCCTACAAAATAGAATAAAGTGGACACTATTGATAACAGATTTGGTTATGCTATTGAAAAATTACGTTTTTCTCCCTCATAGATGCTAATTCCTTCCTAAAACATTTCTTGACTAGTTTGTTATTGCTGAGTTCTTTTGCATTCTTGAGATAGAATAGGTGCTGATTGCTGACTTTGTTGTGGAAATAAAGATGGAAGACCCTATTTGGCTTTGTTTAGTACAAGAAAGGACTAAAATCTGTGTACCCATGTCAAAGGAAAAGTAATTAATGTGAAATTTCAGTGTCACAGAGGAAAAATATTTACTAAGACAAAATTAACATCATGGGTCTACCACATGAGATTTTCCATCTGCCAAAGTGAATTAATGTGGAACGGAACAGGAAACTCAAGCTTCCAATTTGATTAGTGATAGACAATAATTAGATAATTCTAAAATGTGTGGAGCTTTTTCTGTAAGAGACATTAATATGATGCTATAATAAAATTTATTTAAAAACATTGATTATAGACACATTTTTAGAAAGAACTAAATATAAAGAGAATTGATATTAAGTAGATTGCACTTTATGTTCTCAAATACAGTTATGATTGAGTAAATACATGTAATATATACATGGTTAAGCATTTGTTTTTTCTTAGTAATATCTTAAGCTATAGATCTATAAAAGATAACAGAAGATTCAGGGATATAAGGCACAAATACATGATACAGTTAGATACAAATACTGTGTATGACTAAGTTTAAAACATCACCACCTCACTTCCTTTGCTTTGGAAAATATTGCCTGTGATTTTATTAATTCGTGCTCTAAATTGAAGTTGTCAAATTAATATTTGATGCATTGTTGGGAAAACAGAACAATTTAATCAGGCCCTCTTGCAGGGCCAGCTAGGGTTGGTGCCCCGCATTCTTTGTTAATAGGTTGTGTGTGGGTGGAGTTAGTGCGCATGCGCAGCGCTGCGATGCGATGGGGCTGGCGTCTGCCTTGGCCGACACCACCTCCTGCGGCCATGCTTTTCTAACCTATGACTTCCAAGGACCTGTTTGCCGGTTACCTAGCTCATAGACCTGCTGTGTGAGGGGTCTGGTGACCCAACCTGGCATGTGAGGGGTCTGTGACCTAGTCTGGGAAATGGGCTTGAAGGGTCTGTGAGCTCCAGACCTAGCCCTAGCTCCACAACTGGCGATGTGGGCAGGATTCCGACAGAGCCAGAGCGTTACAACCGGCGTGGTCATGCAGCTCTAGAATTGGCGCTGAGAGCAGGACAACCGGCGTGGTCATGTAGCTCTAGAATTGGCGCTGAGAGCAGGATTCCGACATTAGCCGTGGCTTGACATGTATCATCCCAAAGAGCCCTGAGATCTTAAAGAAAATTCACCACTTTTTTGGTTTCTATTGTTCAAAGTTAGGGTGCTTATCACACAAACACACGAAAGAGTCCATTCCAATAGCTCAGTTCAAAAAAGGAGCATGAATGTAGATTTCAAGATTCACTAGAAGAACTGAAAGGAAACATCACATTTTTATTTTTGTTACAAATCTAATGTTTTAAAAAGCTTTCCTTAGTTTCTTAAGTATGGCTGGGTTCATAAAGGAAATTTACTTTTCAGATAACAAAATCCCTGTATTTTATGTGGACGGAGTAATGAAAATCTTGTTGCTTAGCTGTTCAGGGAAAGGGCTGTTTATACAGTGAATTTTAAATAAGCCCACGCACCTAACTACCATATTTAAGAGTTTAGGCAAATTTTGTAGTACAGCCCTAGGATATGAGAGCTCTCTTCACAGCACTCTGAGTCCTAGTTTTTAAGTTCAGTATGTTTGTTTGTAACATACCTATTGGCCAAGTTCTTTTGCACAGAGACTGATAGAGAATCTGCAACGCATTCATCATGGAATGTGCTCCCCATGGGACAAGTTAGTATCTTAGTGCTGCTTTGTCTTTTTTCTTTCTTTGCCTCAAAATATTGTTTTAAATGTTTATTTTGAAATTGATCTGTTTTCTTAATTCTTTGTGCTCCTATTACTGTAAATAACTGACATAAAAAGGCCCAATTTTGAAAAAGAGACTATGGAAAAATAGAATTCCATATCACTAAAAACTACACACCCCCTTCCTTCTGTTTTTCCCTTTTCCTCTCTATTTCAAGCCCTTCCACCCTATGTGGATTTTTCTCTGCACGTTGTAACGTCCAATTGGTCCCTGGCAGAGTTTGAGGTTTAAATTTTCAAATAGATAAACTTTTTATTTTAGAAAAGGTTTAGGTTCACAAAATTACTGCAAAGTTAATACAGGGGGTTCTCATATATCTTCCACCTGGTTTCCTCTATAATTAACATCTTTCATTAGTATATTTGTTACAATTAATGAACCAATATTTGATAGGTTATTATTGACTAAAATCTGTACTATATTCAGATTTCCTCAGTTTTTACTTTTTTCTGTTCCAGAAGTCCATCTGCGATGCCACATTTCATTTAGTTTTCATATGTCCTTAGGCTCCTCTTGGCTATGACAGTTTTTCAGATCTTCCTTGTTTCTGATTATCTTGACAGTTTAATGGAGGGCTGGTCAGGAATTTTGTAGAATGTCTCTTAAATGGGGTTTGTCTTGTGCTTTTTCTCATTATTAGGATGGGTTAAAGCGTTTTAGGGAGGAAGACCACAAAGATAAAGTGACTTTCTCATCATGTTGTATCAAAGATACGTACAGTAGATCTTGGTCATTTGCCCCAAGGTATTTGTCAGATTAGAATCATGTGTTTACTTTTTCCTGAAGGCCTTCAAAGTATTCCTGAAGATTTTAATGACATATTCATTAAAGCTATAAGGAGGCTAACTGTGACTGCTCTTTTGTTTTTTCTTTATTGGTGGTATTGTAAAACTGCTATATGTTTCTAAATATTTAGACAAAGATAATTTTGGCAGTGATAAAGAATATTTTATCTTTTCTTCTGTGTTGTAGGTGGGAATGAGATCCCGAAACCAAGGCGGTGAAAGTTCACCTAACGGGCATATCTCCTGCCCCAAGTCCTCTATCATCAGTAATGCTGATGATAAAAGTCTCTCAGAAGATGCAAAAAAGAAAAATAAATCAAATAGAAAGGAGGATGATATCATGGCCTCAGGAACTGTCAAACGACACCTGAAACCATCTGGACAAAGTGAACGAAAGACTAAGAAATCCCTGGAGTTATCCAAAGAAGACCTCATCCAGCTACTCAGTATAATGGAGGGGGAGTTGCAGGTAGAGTCAAACTTTCTCATCATTGTGTCTCTAGTTCCTACGCTATAAAATAAGAGACTATAAATCCATCCTCTTCACTAGATTGTGAACTTCGTGGGGAAAGGAGATATGTCTTCTTGTTCATTTCTAAATCCCTAGTGCTCGGGACAAGTTTGCAGTGAATAAATTTTTGTTGAGTGAACGATAAACGAAAAGGGGCTGATTCCAACTTCAACTTTCTTTATAAGCAGAAAATTTCTTCATGACATGATTTTAGTAGTAATTTAATACAGGTCCCTGCACTTAGTAGGTGATCAATTAGATTATCTAATTTAGACATTGACTGTGGTTGAAAAACATGGAAAAGTAATGATTATTAGCATGGAGAGTTAAGGTCAATTGTTACTTTTGCTTCTTTTCTAGAAGTTAGAGTAAAAGAGAAATAGAGAGATAGAGGAAAAGAGAGAGGGAGAAAGAAAGAAGGCTTTGTTAAAACCAGTCTTACTGCCCAGTCTTTTCTCATTTTTTCAGTAACTTTTAGCCTCAATTTTCTACAACCTCATAGGGATTAAGATGTACACTAATAAGCAGAGCATTGTGTAGTGAAGAATCTAATGATTTCCTAAAGCATTTTCAAGTTTATTATCTCACTTGATCTCAGTAACAATGTGGGTACCATTATCTGTATTTTATAAATGAGGAAACTGAGGCCCAGAAGGATTAAATGGTTTGTACGGATGTATGGATCTCATCTCAGGCCTCCTCCTGATTCTTGGTCCGGTGCTCTTTCCTCTTTCCACCCCCACTGACCTTATCTACTTGCCATGAGCCAGGCCCCTCACATTAAGTCTATTTTTTAGGGATCCAGGAAGCATTTGGGATTCTTCTGAGTTCCTGAGCCCAGGACAATTGTATTTCTGGAAGTAGGGGAACAATAACTTTTTTTTTTTTAATGAGGAGAGGATGACTTAAGAGTGGAGTTACTGTTTTCCTTTTTGTTTTTATTAAGTTCTTAGCTTGCACGAGCCTCTAAGGGAATACTAACAATTGCATGAAATGAAACGTTGGTTTGCTTACTGGTGCTGTTAGCATTAGAGAGGTAATTTGCAACCTACCCTAAACTAGGGTGGGCCACTCTGTTCCTGTTTTCAACTGTGTGTGCAAACAGATAAGGAAATCCCTGGGGTGAAGAGAAATATAAAACATACAAAACTCAATTAAACAAACAAACAAACAAACGAACAAACAAACAAACATGATTGAGCTTACCATTTACAGATTGAGAAAAATCACATTTGCATTTCACAGCAAAGATGAAATTTTCCAGAGCACCGCCATTACTAAAAATAGCTTTACCAGAAATGTGGTTAGTGTTTTGTCTATTAACATTTATTGTGTAAGGAGGCAGAATTACTCCAACTGTTTTAAGCTGCCCCCAGCTGACATCTATTGACCTGAGTGAGTGAAAGGTATGATGTTGCCTTAGAAACCTTCACAAAGAAACATGATCAGCTCATTTCCCTCCAGCCATGGTAGCTCTTGCCAGGCCTGCGGCTCTTGCAGAATAGTCTTGTAGAAGACATGTTATGGTGGACTCTGCAAGGTATTTAAGATTCACGTGGCTTTTATTTTCCTAGTGGTGCTAGATATGTTTCCAGATCCTAGGTATGCAAAATATAAGCTCACACGCCCAGGACGTTAAAGAAATTAACCAGAAGGCTCCAAAGAAATGCATTTTGCTTTCCATCAATCTTTATGACCTTACATAATAGATGTATTTCTGAGCAGCTATAAATAAGTAAAAAGTGTAAGATATTTGTGGGGGAGGTGGTGAAAGGAAAGAAATGAAGGACCTGGTATTTTAAGAAATTCCATTGTTGATTTATCTGCAAAGCAAAAATTCTGTCCCATATACATATATTTATATGCACACACATATATGCAAGTACATATATGTAAGTTGTAAATTATAAAAATACTTGTAAATGAGCATTTTGCAATATTAGATTTGTTTAAAATGAGAGTGTTCCTATATTTAGAGCTGTAGATATATGCTCTTGTAGTAGACACTTGTCCTTTATCAGCATTGTCCCATGGGGGGCAGGGACTTGTAGATTAGCATGGGAAGCAGTTGGCCTAACAAATGTGAGTGGGCTGGTGAAAAATGTGGCAGCCATGTGCTAGCCGACTGACTAGAGATAAGAAAAAAAATCTGTCTGAAGGGCTGGTGCTTGGAGTAGAGGCAGAAATGTGCCTTGGGAGGTAAGTTGCCCTCAGGTCAGGCCTATATGCCATATGATCTGACGTGTGTGGAGCATTTAGTGAGTTGTCTTCAAAGGCTACCCATTGCTCTCCACTTACTGGTGGCTGTATGTGACTCAAATGCTTTTATTCTGGAGGTGATGTTAACAAAGTTCCATAAAATATTGGGACTCTTAAGCACCTTCAGGGTGTCCTATCTATCCCACCTCCTTTATATTACAAACGTGAAACTGACGTACAAGTTATGTGACTTGCTCAAGGTCACACAGAAATTTAGTTACAGTTGCTCTAGATCCAAATTTCCTGTCTCTCAGTCCAGTGTGCTTCCTATTATATCACTTAACATTCTGGAAATGTTCAAGGGTGGTTTGGGCTCCAGGACTTTAATAATTATTCTTGGCCTCCAGAATTTCTTTCAAGTAGACTCACATTGTAAACCCATGAACCAAAGCTATTTTGTGAGAAGGTGAGAATTTTTAGGTAAGAAAGATTGAAGAAGGTTTCTTTCACATCAGGGAGATAGAATGGAATCTGAGCCTTGACATTTGGTGCAACCTAGACAGTGAGAAAAATGGGGGAAGGCAGGGATGCCACGTGGCCATGCAGACTGGGCACTACACAACTCTGTGGCTTCAGATTCACTACTCCAAGGGTGATGTACCTTGAAGTTGTGCAACAGTGCAGCCTTGGGGGGTGGGGGGGTGTAGCATCTACACTCCTGCAGCATCTGCAGGTCAAAAGAAGTAGGGCAACACAGAGAAAAGGGCTTATAGCATTGGGGAGATAAGATCAAGATCAAAGCTGCCTGTAGGAGGTACACCTTGCAAGTGACTTGAAGGAAGGAGAACATGAAGGCTCCTTCAGGCTTTTCATACCTTCTCTGACTCTTTTTTGATCTTTCCCATTTTCTCTAACTCCATATCTAGCATTTTGGACACTGTAGACAATTCTGTGTGTTTTCTGGTACACCAGTGTCCTGCTACCCTTGGACTCTGTTAAGTGACCTATGGGAATTTGTTGAACCAACATTATAAACAACATGACCTTTATTACTGGCATTAGCTCTTCGCAAAATTTGCAAATGTGTTGTTTTGTTTGCCAGCCCAGGTATCCCGTGAACTCTTGAAGTGTACCTTTAATGGTTATGTATTAGAAATAGAATTGCCCATCACAGGAATTTCTGCATTTTAAGGAGTCTTGTCTAGAAGTGGTAATGTCATGAACCTTGTCTTGGAGAAGGATATCATCCAGACTTTTCAAGCCACACCTCAGCAGATGCAGGCCTGTGGTCTGAGCACAAAGACTGGTGGGCATTGCCTGCGTAGAAGTAGCTGGGATGGTTTTCATTATTACACTTCTGTCCTTGACTGCTTCCAATAACAAGTACTTTCTAATAAATTGGAACATTTTTACTCTCTGGGTGAAAAACTGGCTACATATTTCCCAGACTAAACTGAAAGTAATGAAATAGTACACCCGGACCATCACTTGGGCACCATGATTAATGTCCCCTTGTATTTGTCCAAAAATAGCACTTTAAAAAAGCCATTTAACTTGGCCGTGCTAAAAACGACAAAAGTTGAAAAGAAATGGTACTCACATCAAAAAGCCATAACACAGAAGACTTGGCAAAATGATATTCTCATCAAATCCTTTAAGAGCAAGACACAAATTAATTTTTTCTTGATGCCAAAAAAAAATTTAGCTATTTTATAGTAAATTCCCTTGATTCACCCACTTGAATACATTTTAGAAAAAAAACCCCACAAATTGGATTTCATCATTTCTCCCTTTATCATTGCAGTTAATTCTATTTTACTTGTGAATGAGGAGGCACAGAAAAAACTAGATAATTCAACTAGATGATCCACCACCATTCCATTTGGCTTTGATGTTCTCTGTCTCTGGCTAAGCCAGAGATGGAGCCATTGACACAATGAGAAATCTGTCTTCATCCTGGGTGACTGGCAGAAGAAGTTATCGTATTTCAAAGATAACTTACAAAAAGATGTATGCCTGTGGTTGTTAGAAGCTTCCTCTATTTTTGTCCTTTTGGGATTCCTAGCCATTTTTAAAAATCTTGCTCACTAGTTTCTCTTTACCTCTCCACCACCTATGAGGGTACTTTAGAAAGTTCGTAGAAAAATAGAATTAAAAGATAATACAAATCTTTCCATGAAATTTTTGAAGATCACTCATACTATGGGTAAGCCTTCTATCTGCACTTCCTTAATACCAGTGGAGTTCATTCATTTTTAAGGCTTTATTTAATTAATAATGAATTAACTCAAAATTGATTGATCTTACAATATTTAAGAAACATTGCTATGTGAGAGGTCTGAGGAATGCAAAAGTGAATAATAATAGTACTTGTAGCTAAAATTTGATGAGCTCTTACTATGTGCCAAGTGTGGTTCTAGGCACTAGGTATTAAGCAGTCATGAAGAAAGAGCTCATGACCTGGAGGATAGATGAGAATATATAGGAATGAGTATTCTATAAAGCAATTTCAGTACAAATTATGGAAATACATGGGACAGAAAGATTATGAAAATCTCAGGAGATAAGTGAATGCTTCACTAAAAAATTGGACCTTGAAGAATGGGTAGATTTGGATAGGTAGAGATGAGCGTAGGGACCAATATGAGCAGACTCGCCAGAGTGGGTGGGAAAGTAAGGGCCGTGTTCATCAGTGGATAGTTTGGTTTAAGTGAAGTATTTGGTGAAGGTCAATAGGAGACTACAAATAAGAGGTCCAA